CTCCCACCAGACCACCCTGCTCTCTGCCAGTGGATTCCGACAGAGGACTCAGATCTTCTGAAGTCTGTCTGTACTGAGTGTGCCCTGCACTAAATGCTCAAACTCCATTGAGGGGACGTTACTCACAGGAGGAGGTAGGCAGACCCAGGTCTCAGGGTCTTGTGTGTGCCGTGGAATTAACCCTTCCAACACCCGAGGGCCTGGGGCATCACTCACCATGTACACGGAACTCTCCAGTTGCTAATACAGGCCTGAGATCGTTATTTAAGATTCGTAGGGTGTAGAATCCTGTGTCCTCCTTTGTCACATTCGTGAACAGCAGGGACCCATTGGTGTATAATGTCTCTCGACCACTGAATGCAGGGCCTGTGTTAATGTTCTGTGTGAGTATCGAGTATGATATAATTTCATGGCTGTCTTCTGTTGTGTTTCCTTTGAACCAGTAATAGCCTATGGTATTCTGTGATGCATTGTGGACGAGGAGAAGAATGTCTGTCCCTTCAGCAGCATCGAAAGGCACTGGTTCAATAGTGAGCTGGGCAGTGGGGTGCGGGTTCCAGAAGGTTAACAGTGAGACTAGGAGGGAAGAGAGAGAAATCCATCAATACTGGGCCCTTCGTATTGGGTGGAAAGATGGGGCCCAGGTCCTCAGCAGGAATCCTCATTCCTCAACCTTGGGGTGTGTGGTGAGTGGGTGAGTCCCTGGGTCAAAGCCAGCAGATGCATTCCTTCAGGACCCCTAAGCCTGTCATTCCTCTGGAACAATCGTCTCCCGGTATCTACAAGGCTGGCCCCTCAGTGCCCTCAGATCCCTGCTCACACCCAGGGCACCTGGGCACCCGCYTCCCCTGACCACCTCCTTACAGACCCCACGTCTTCCCTGTGGACATTCCCCTGCTCTCTGCCCTCCTAGRTCTACACAGCACCTGGCCTCACCTGTAGATCTCTCTCTGGCCTGGCCTCCTGCCCTCTAGAGAGGAAGCTCCAGGAGGCAGAGACTAGTCTGACCCTTGTTGTGGCCCAGGGCCTGGA